TTCCTAAAACCTGTCTTCATACTTGATTCCCTGTACTTTTATTCGTTTGGGGAGGAAAGGAGTTTTCTAGGAAAAGGATGGGAGAGAAATGACATCAAGGCGTATCTATGTAACCAGCTCTCATCGATCCTGCATTGTTCTAGGTCACTCAAACCAAAAATCGCCTCCAAGATAAAAGGAAGCCTTTTTGAACAATGCAAGGAAATAAATGATTCGACCTGGATTATCTCATTTCAGTTGCAGTTTTGTGCGCTGTTTAGCCTTGTCTGTCAGAGAGCTCCCTTGAGTTACAGCAGAGAAATCTGATGCTCCAGCTGCACTGCAGAATTATAGCAATTTGACACCACTTTAATGCCATGGCTCCATGCAATGGAATTTGTAGTTTTGTGAGATATTGAACCTTCTCCGTCAGAGAGCTCTGGTGCCACAACAAACTACAAATCCCAGGATACCACAGCTTGGAGGCATGGAAATTAAAGTGGGGTTAAACTGTATTAATTCTGCAGTGCAGATGAGGCCAAGATGTCAGTAGCTGTGGTTTCTGCTGAGTGCTTAATGCTTCATGACGTGGCCAGGACCCATTCCCATGATATCACCATTTCTAGGTCTCAAGGTTGTGGCCTCAAAATCTCAGGGACGGCCTGGGATGCTCCTCTCTTGGCAACCCTATACACAGGATTCCCTTGGACCCCATGCCTGCTAACATTGCACAAATGAAATGTGGCACACATGTGGCCAAGTGCCATCAGAGTGTGGTCAAAATGGTGAACATTATGAATGAGGAGGAATACACAAACTAGGAGAGGCTGCAGATGTTTGCTTTTGCCTGAGTCTACTGCAAAATGCACGATTCTGCTCTCTCCATTTCCTCCCCGCCACTGAGTTAATTGAGTAGAAATTACTTTTACACCTTAAACTCAGTTTGTTGCTGTTACCCCAAAGATCACCCCTCCATGCAGGATCCCTCTGTTTGATATAAACTTAATATTAAAGGGGCTGTCAAAAGGCTTGGAGCCCAGAGGAAGCATGGAGGCAGCTGCTTTGACCATATACAGAGTTCCTATAGGCTCAACATGGGAGCACTTAACTCAAAGCCCAGAGGATCAAAATCTGCATAAGTCTCTTATCCATGGGAACAATGGTGAGTGTGATATCTGTGTTTGCAAGTAAGCAGAAGATCAAGAGTATCTCCCTCTAATGAGATATGCCTCTTTGTCCAGGGACATCTGCATGGATGGCTGGGTGATTCTCTACTTCCTTGCTCATTCTCTCACCTGAAAAATCCATTGAAGTCCCAAAATTGCCCCAGGATAGGTTTCACCCAATAAAAGTGCCCACTTGGGATGTCCCAACTCATTCTTGTCTTGAGGTCAGGCAGACACTCTGTCTGTATCTCACCTGACTCCTCAGCAATCATTGGCCAGCTCAAATCCACAGACAATGTGCTGAACCACCTTCATCCTATCTGCTACCACCTTTTATATTGTTAGATTTTGTAAGTGTGTGTGAGTGTGTGTCATGCCCTGCCTGGAGGAGGACAAGGAGGATGAGGAGGATGAGCCAGAGCCTCCTCTGGGACCTGAACCTGCAGCTATGGAGCCTCAGCCTGGCCCTAGTTGCTTTGCCAGCTCCAGCAGAGCCTGTGGTCTCCCAGGAGGCTCTGCAGCTAAGCCTCCCGGCAGCAGAACCATCAAACATGGAGGAGGATCAAGGGATTGTGCCTACCTTCAGCCAACATCGAGCAGAAAGGGAGGGCATTTGGCATTCGAGGAGAGTTTATGAAAAATGCCAGAGCAATCAGCCTCAGCTGAGCTCTTGCAGCTTGGTAATATAAGCAGGTGCAGAAAGTCTGCCTTGGTGCCAGAGACTATCTGAGCTCCCTAGCAAAAGCCTCTCTCTCTCCTTGTTCCTTGGCCTGAAGCCTTGACTCTCGGACTGCTGACTTATCTTGAACTTCTGGAACCCTTGACCTTTGGACTGCCTTGTTGCTCTACCTCTCTGGAATCCTAGACCTTCAGACTGCTTGACCATTCTCTGGCTGGATTAGTAAGGACCTCTGCAGATTGGCCCAAAGGGCCGGCCTGGAGGCAGGGAGGGGGTGGGGCAGTTGCACGCTGGTCACCCCAACCCCACGCCAGCAGCGTCCTGACACCGTGCACCATTACTCATGGCACGCGGCGTCAGGATGCCCTTCCGGCATAGCGTTTTGATGCGCTGCACCGGAAAGGGCACTAAAGAGCTGCACGCTGTCTCTTAGGGCGGCCTTTTGCTGCCTCTGAAAGGAGTGGCATTTTGCAGCTCTTTCAGGAGTGGCAAAAGGGAGAATCAGGGCCATGGCACACAGTTGCCACGGCCTCAATCCACATCTAGGAGGGTGGCCTAGAGTCACCCATCTGCATAGCCCCTCATCCAGACCTTTGCTTTCTTGCTTTGAATTAGCAAAATACTTTTGTTTGCCTTCAAACCTCACAAGAAGCTGCTATCAGCACTCTTGGCAGCTTTCCTGGACAGTGTGTGTTTTTGTGTGAAAGCTGATTTTCCTTTTGCTATTACAAATAAAGCTACATTTGGAGTTCTGTTTAGCTTCAAAACTGCCTCCAGCTCTCTTAGCACAATCCCAAAATGTTTAATCAGAGGCTGAATGAGAGAGAAAAATCCACCTTGTTAGCAGCTATCTCCTTTCAGTGATGTCTGCTTCCAGCATTCTCTAGCTGCCCCCAGAACTTTCCAGACATTGGATGGAAGAGCTTTTAAGAACCTTCTTGCAATAAGCCTTCAAGGACAAGCAGAAGTCCTACTGTGCCCAACAGAAGAACAGGAAGCAGACATCAGTGGAAGGAGTTGGCTTGTTTGTCCATCTCTCAGGCATTGCAAACACTGAACTGGAATCACAGCCATTGGGGATAAAATGGAGTCTGGAGTCTCATAATCTGGTGAGCGCAGGACAATCTGTTCAAAGCAAGGAGAATGTCCAAGCGTTGCCTTTTTGCTTGGCCTTTGGAAGGAAGGCAGTTTCAGCCCTGCCAAACCAGGGAGATGCATGCTGAATATCCTCAAAGCTTATTTTGCTTATTTTGCTTCAGACCAGAGGAGTCCGTATTTATTAGAGGCATGAGGAGAAAGCAGAGAACAGGACTCCTGCCAGGGAAATGAATCACTCAGGGACAGGCACAAACTGGCATGGACCATGGGCTGTGAAACTTACCCAAAAACACACAAGAAGTCAATATCAGCATCTCTCTGTCCTGGTGGCCCCATTTGGCATCTTTGGCCAGTTGGACAAATGTAAAGTTGTAAAGAACAAACTAAGATGAGCTCCCAAAAGTAGTGGAGGCAACCTTTCACTGGGGGCACCACCAGCCTCACAAACAAGACTTAGGAGGCATTTGCTTCTCTTCATGTGGGCACCACAATCTAAGAGGGATATCGGCAAACTGGTGCATGTCTAGAGGAAGGCCACCAAAGTGATGAAAGGCCTGTAAACCATAAAGCCCTATGAGGAGCATCTTAGGGAGCTTGGTTGGTTTAGCCTGGAGAAGAGAAGGTTAAGAGGTGACATCATGGCCATGTTTAAGTATTTGAAGGGATGTCAAGTTGAGGATGGAGCAAGCTTGTTTTCTGCTGCTCCAGAGAAAAGGACATGGAGCAATGGAGTCAAGCTGCAGGAAAAGAGATTCCACCTCAACATTAGGAAGAACTTCCTGATAATAAGAGCTGTTTGACAGTGGAAGACACTGCCTCGGATATTCTGGTGGAGTCTCCTTCTTTGGAGGTTTTAAAACAGAGACTGGATGGCCATCTGTCCCAGGGAAGGCTTGGAGTGTGTATTCCTGCATGGCAGAAGGGGGTTGGACTGGATGGCCTTTGGGATCCCTTCTAACTCTATCATTCTATGATTCATGAAGGGAAGGTTAGGAGATGATATGATAGTGCTGCTTAAAGATTTGAAGGGATGTCATATTGAGGAGGGAGCAAGCATGTTTTCTGCTGCTCCAGAGAATAGGAGATGGAGCAATGGATGCAAGGTGAAGGGAAAGAGATTCCACCTCAATATTAGGAGGAACTTCCTGAGGGTAAGAGCTGTTTGACAGTGGAACATATTACCTTGGAGAGTGATTGAGTCTCTTCTTTAAACAGAGGCTGGATGGCCATCTGCCCCAGGGAGGGCTTTGGTGAAGTCTTCCTGCAAGACAGAAGGGGGTTGGATTGGATGGCCCTTGGGGTCTCTTTCAACTCTAGGATCCTGTGCTCTGAGAAATGCCTCTACTCCTTTTAGATCCATGGCAGGCACAGTGAGCCAAAGGCATGCCCTGGACGCATGCCCACAAGAACTTTCTTTTTCCCTTCCTCTCTCATAGTCCATGGGAAGTGGATGGGCTAAATGAGGACATGGCCCCAGATGTAGGACTTCTGCTCCCCCCGCCCACAAATGCTAGAAATTTGTGGACTGAAGGAAAAATAGATTTTTCCATACATTTTTCCTTCAGTCCACAAATTTCTAGCATTGCTGAGATGGAGACACTGGATTTTATCTGTGGCATTTTTGCATTCCCTGGGTTACTTTGCCAGCCTCTTGGTATATAAACTGTCACCTCCAAATGTTCCACTGAAATTTTAAGCTATGGCAATGCTTGAAAATTGGGGGAAATGATGGAAAATTTCAGGGGGGGGG